TTTTTTTTTCTCTCTCCTCTGTCCACTCACCTCAACCAGCCGAGGCAGAAAGCCGCCCACTAAGAGCCGGGGTCTGGATTTTTCCATTAAAGCGGTTTTTTCCCTCTCCACTGTCACCAAGTGCTTGCTCAAGGGGGATTTGTCAGGCTTTACTCTATAATAATAATAATGATAAAAATATTAAGATCTAAACCTTACTATGTAAAGTGTACTGAGATGACCTTTGTTTTGATTTGGTGGTATAGAATTAAAATTGAATTGAATACTGTCATGGACAAAACCTTATCATGGTACAAGTGATTTAATAAAAACAATATACAGAATAGTGTGAAAACATTCACTGTCGTATTTGTTCACAAATCAAATCCCACTTGTCTATCGTCTCGTGATATATTTATATGTATATATACAGTCCTAAGCCTGGTTATGTATTTAATTCATGCTGCCTGTCAGTGTTTTAAACACGGCCTTCAAAAGCAACCTATAACATGCTACTATTTAAAAGTGTTTTCATCTTTATGCGCTGTTTTTTTAACCTTGTTGATTTAACCTTTGTCCTCACTTTCTGTACACATATATTGTATTTCTAGCTTTTCTCCTGTAAGTTCCTGAATATGTTTACCTGAGCAGGACACTTCTCACCCCCCCCCCCCCCTCCTCCTTTTGGCAGCACCCGGGTTTTTTTTTCTCTGTCAGTGAGCAGACAGACAGCGGGACGGGAAACTGGAGGGGCATGGTGAAGAAGGGAGAGGAGGGTACGACTGGTGACAGGGCCGTCCCTCTGAATCCACTCCCTGCAAGTCCACACAAGGGCCACGCTGTCAATTTGCTAGATGTGGTGGGTAACAGGCTCATTCCCTGGTATAATTAGGGATAAATATTCATTATTAGTAAATTGCAGGTGTGTTGTTGAAATTGTCATCAAAAACACTCTGTGGGATATTCACAGAATTTGTTTTGTTTAGCGGCCGTATTCCTGCATGTTCAGCTCTGTGATGCACTATTGGTTTTTGTTTGCACCTGTGGTGCAGAATGGTTTCATTCTTGTTTTTACTGTTGTTTATATTTACATATCCCTGCTCCCATCTCAGCCAGTGCATTAACAAGCTGATTTGATCCCTTCTTATTGCCAGCCTGTTTCAGTGTCCAGGAAGTTGTCTGCTCGGGAACAAAGGGACTGTGAGGTCATCGAGAGACTCATCAAGTCGTATTTTCTTATCGTACGGAAAAACATCCAAGACAGGTGCGCATGTAATCGCCCTTACATGTGTTTTTTTTTTTTTTTTTCACCCCCCCCTTCCCATAAAAGTTTTGAAATATTCACGATTGGTCCCTTTTTAAGTGCTTTCCTCTCTCTTTCCTCTCTAATATTGTTCGGCCTCAGTGTACCGAAGGCGGTGATGCACTTCCTGGTGAACTATGTGCAAGACTGCCTGCAGAGTGAGCTGGTGGGTCAGTTATACAAGACGGCCCTGCTGGATGACCTGCTGACAGAGTCCGAGGACATGGCTCAGAGGCGCAACGAGGCTGCTCACATGCTCAAGGTAACAGATTTGTCAGGTGCCACTATGAATAGCAACAACAACAGTTACACACTCGTTGCACATTAAAACATTTACCTGTCACTTGTCATTTTAAAATGTGAAAAAGGGTTGAATTCTCATGCTGTCAGCGCTGCTCTTATCAGAGGCACAACATGCTGAATATGTATAATAGTTGTTGAATTTGCACACTCCTTTTCATTGCTTTGTGCAGGCATTGCAGAAAGCCAGCCAGGTGATAGCAGAGATCAGAGAAACCCACCTGTGGTGAGGGCGGCCTCTCTTTAGTAAACTCTCCTCACCTCACGTTCCCCTTCATCACCCTGCTGAGTCTCCCAGCACGTCAGGCTGCAGAGACGAACCACCTGAAACTCCACTGGTGTGGATATGGGTATACAGAGTAGTTTTAATGTACAGTAAGGACTTGGATTCAGTGAATGTCAGTACTTATCACTGTTTCACCATCACCATCAGCATCACACCTGCTCCTGTCCTGGATTATAATTTTTTTTATGTAAACCAATAAATACATAGATAATGTTATGCATCAGCACTGTGTGGAGTCTTGCTGAAGAATGGCTGCTTTTAAGTCAGATTTGAATTAAAGCTAAAATGACAAACCCATTTAAATATGCAGATACTCTCTTAATCATTAGTGTCAACTGATCATTTTAAAAAATGCATTTCATTAGATAACTTTATTGTGAAAACACCACACAGTTTTGACACAATCCTCTGTTCGCTGTAAAAGACAGTATTATTTCTATCTAGACAAGAAACAGTCATAGATCACAACTTTGTCACGTTTTCATGATCTTTTTCAACAAGACTTAGAGCTTTGAGTACCTTCAGTGAGCTGTTACTGAATGGTTCTGGCTGTTTGATTTGTTTTTTTGTATGATGGCACTGATGTTGGATAGTATTACACAGCATAAGAAAGGCAGCAAAGCACATGCAATGACGTATTTATTGTTCTGATATCATGGCCATGGTACACACACACACACACACACACACAGGCAAATTACTGTGTCACAATGTGCCTCATCGTTGTCTGGTGGCTCCTTTACCACCGCCGGCTGGCCATTGTGGCCTTAGCCGCAACCTTTAGCACTGAAAGGGTGTAGGAACAGCACAGCAGATGGTGAGTTTAGGACAAGTGGAGGTCATTTAGATGCTGTTCAGCCAACAAGGTGGTGAACAGGGAGAATTTTACCACATAGAAAACAAATCCCAACAAAGTGCAGTTAACCCAAGATGATGTGGAAATAAAAAAAAAGGTTTCTGCATTGAAGGATTAAGATTGTAAGTGCCAAGACCTTAACTGCTACACAGTATGATTTCCTAAGAGTTTTGACATTGTTTCAGACTTTCTGCCATTGTTGTGGTCAAATAAAAAATGAGAATACGGAACAGAATTTTTCTTCCTAATGAGACTGCAATAGGGCGTACGCTTCTCTCAAGAACATTAGCATGCAATGGTCAAAATAAAGGTGATGAACAATGGGCTGCAGAGATTATTGTGTCAGAGTTACAGTTTTAGTACTCAAATGATTGTACCCTGTATAAAATGGGACAATGTGAAAAGTAGTTATTTATATATTAATTCTCAAAACCTCTTTGGCCAAAAACTCAGGAAAAGAGAAGAGGTGGATTTTGAGAAGATGGTGAATGATCAAAAAGAAATCAAAATAGAGGGCAACCCAAGCATATAGTTGTAATGGTAATCATGAGTAAATCCCATCTAGGTTTTTTTTGTATTTACCTCTGTTGATCCTGGACTCGGGCGGGAAGCTGGTTAATCCACACAGACACAGACCGCACTAAGCATTTAAAAAAAAAACTGATGGGATGATTAGCATGTCCAGCAGAGGTTGCTAACTTCACCTTGGAAACTAGAAAAGTCTCACTGGACCCAGCATATAACTTACTCTTGACTTTAGAAGACCAGTGTTAATTCTGCTGCCTTACATCATATTTCTTGTTTCTTGCCTCTTCTATTCTCACTCTTGTTTAAAAAAAAAAAAAAAGACACGACACAATCTGAATGTAGCAATAAAGTGGATATTAATTGTGAATTCATCTTTATATTGGATTGATAAACTCAATAAAAAGTAATGGAAACTAATACTATAGTAGTAGAGCAAGTATTCAGCTTCTTTACCTTTGTATAAAGTATTTATATCCATGTATAGCTGCTCTATTATAAGTAAAAGTCCAGTGCTGAAGTTTTTATCAGCAAAATAATTCTGCAGGTACCTCATGAAATGTCATATATCCATACAAACTTTCACCGGCTACTCGGGTTTCAACACCGTATAATTTCACAGGTTGTAGGAATGACATAGACAGACATTTGCTCCCAGTAGGTAAAAATAAAATAGCAACAACAACTGCAGCTTTTTTTGCATTTTTTTATTGCTGAAGCAAGTACAAACAATAATTTTAAACATCCAAACAAATGCAAGACACCTCAACAATACTGGAAGACTCAAATACAGTTTGGAAAGATTCAGCACATGTGCACTGCTGACTGACAAACACCAGGGTACATTAATGTTTATTACAGGCATTGGTAAAACAGAGTGTATAATGCAGCTGTCTTGCAAACCTTTATCGCGTTGCAATGCAAATAAACCTGCAAATCAGGAGGATGTAAACTGATGTTAGCTGTTAAATAGAACTGCATTTGTTCACTGAGTAGTTGTTACAGTGGACACTACTGTACATCCTGGCATTAGCTAAAGCTCTTATTGTGAATGGGACACATTAACTTTGTTTTAAAAGAAATGGATACAACACAATCCATTAGTAATTAAGCATTTAATATGTGGTTCTTTGGCCTGAAAACCCCCATCAGACATGACGTCTACATTGACATTTCAAGTCATGTCTGATGGAAACATGAATATTTTTATACTTTCATATGTGGACAGTGCAAAAGGAACTCATAAAAACATAGCCGGAGGATTTTGACGCTGGAATCCTCTACAGTTACTCGTCCTCTTCCTGCATCTTTTCCTCATTCTTGGAGTGAATCTCATGCATGGAAATGAATGCACATACAGTAGCAGAGCCTTGTGTTTGGTCAGGTAAGGTTTTATTTAGATGGAGATGTCAGTGTTTAACGTCTTACACCTGCTAAAACAGAAACAGTAAAGATCTATTAGTCATTGCTTCTGTGAATGGTGTGTTTAAAACTGCATTCAGTAGGTTTTACATCCATACTTCTTTATGTATATAATGTATGAGCCTAGGTGTGTCTGTAGATCAGACACAGAGCTCCTGTTGCTAACACATAGCCTACATTTGAGGTTAGAACACTTCTCTGTGTGACTGAAAGCCTAAACTTTAGCCCTTTATGTCCTTCTTCAGTGATCTATTTCTGATAAAGAAGGGGTGAGGATCACTATTTAGGGTCAAAGCCTAATACTTGACAAATGTTTTTCCACTGCTATTGTTCACACTTGGGCTTGAGCACTGGAGGCTTGATGTCAGAAGCAATGTGGCTTTAGCAGAGTAAAGACAGCTTTACTCTGCTCGCAGTCATTAATGTTATTTGTTTTAATGGGTTTTTTTATGATAAATATATCTTTAATTTGTTTTTCTAGGTGTGGACATGCATGTTAAGTCTCTATAATTAGCAATGGGTTAATAATCCCGGTGATCAACCCCAGTCTGCTTCTTAAACTGTTGGCAATCCTCCCTAGCAGTGAGCTGTAATGTGAAAAATCAGCAGCTGCACTGGTTTGGCTAACAGCTCGCTAGCACTGGGCAGCCCAGATGGCAGTGCATGGACACGGAAGCCATTCCAGGAGTCTGGGAGGGTTCTTTATGCAGGGACACAAGATCGTAGTGAGGTGGTTTTGCTTGTTTGTTTGTTAGATTTATAGACCACTGAGCTGAGCGTGTGCCCAAAAATCCCCAACAGCAGATCTGATTTACAGTGAGCAGCTACTCTGCCACAAAGAAGTGTTGGTGGGTTGTTGTAGTCGTGAGTCCACAGGTGGCTTTAAATCAGGTGTGACATTTCATTCTTTTATTCACAATTTTATCAACTGTTTTGTATTCTTGGGTGATCTTATATTTAGTCTAGGTGTTCATTCTTTTGGCTTTAAACTCTACTTGACTCCAGGAGAGCCCTGCACAAGAATTCCTATATGCCTAGACTGTCTGTTTATGCATAAATGGCAAATAAAAATCTTGAATCGTTACATGCCCTCTCACCCACACAATGGTGTGAAGGACAGAGATGACTGTGCTTCCCACAGGACCAGTCAGGATAAACCCTGGTTTAACATGTACATACTTATATACAGTCAGAAGTATTCAGACCTTTTATGTAAGTACTATCATCAAAGTATTTTAAGTATAAAAAGTTAAGTAAATTATCCCCAAACTGGTTGGCAGAGTATTTATTTTAGCTGTTATAAGGTTGTCCTGTATGAGGCCAGGAGAGGAGTATAATATTTTCACGAGCCATTATTAATGATTACCTATTTATGGTGAACTAAGTAAAATATTAGACCACTTAATTAAGCTTTCATCTTTAAAAATGTATAAGCTCATCAGTCTGCAGAAGTAACTGCAGATTTCAAATACATTTATTAGAATAATATAATATTTGCCTCTGAAATGTTAAGTAGAAGTATAAAGAAATGATTGAAGTACTGGATTTAAGAAGGTACTTATTTGCATTCAGTGCAGTCCCTTCAGAATCTTACCGTTTGTGACAAACTTGCTCTTGGCTCCAACTGCCACCTGAAAACATGAAAATTTCAAGAACAGAAGGAAGAAAATCAAAACAAACTCTGTCAACCACATTTCATATTGCCTACTGAAATCAGCTGATTGTGCTGAAATAATCCCTCATCATATTCTGTGATTTAGGAACTGCTTCTGCTTCTGCTTCAGCAAAGCTTGTGTTTCTTTTTATAAATGAAATTTTAGTGGCTTCATTTTTATCTGTGGGTATTTCATGGGTGTGGAAGTGAGAGTAGTGCTGTGATATGATGTGCACGATGAACAGTATTTCTACAACATTCCCACAGACTTCAAATATGTTATTTGTAAACCCTTACTAAATTGTTACTGTTAACTGAGGTTAACTTCCAGTTAAAAATACATATAAGCATTCAAACATAACCACATGCACTCAACCGTAATATCCTCTCTGCAATGCAGCTACTATCTTGGCATGAGAAAACTGTGCACAGTGCAGCCAAAACATCCTGCAACAACATTTATATGTGAAAGAAATTTATGTTCCAGATGAACAAGCACATCCGAGCCAAGAAATACTATTTGTGTCCTGAACAATCCAGACTGGTCAGCATGACCATGTTCACACTTTTTCATCATATCAAAACCAGCATTTCCATTTCAGTTCAGACAATTCAGCAGAGGCGTTGAAATAATAAAAATACATCCTACTTTTATTGTAAACAGATTTATGTTAGGGACTGTATAAAATTATGTGAAGGAGGGTTTTTTTTCTCCTTTGACCTCATTCTTTACATTCCGGCACTCCTGCAAATATAACAACAATACAGTAAAAAAACTAAAAGTGCATAAAAGTGCAATTTAAACCATATCATATTTAATGGAGTACTGATTTTGACATAGCCAGTACTGTTCATTGTCTCTGCTATGGCCAAACACACTGACCTGATGTGGTGCACAAGAAAATGTTTTTGATGTAACTGTGGATTTTTTTTTAAAAAAAAAAAAAAAAAAAGCTATGTTTACATTTAGTGTTACTCATCAAAACACAAAGTGTGTATCCTTGAGCACACATGTGTGGAGTGCATTTCCTTCCACATACTGTAAACATATGCAAAACCAAGTTTTTAAGAATTTTACATCCATTACTCCTTACATTCATTTTTGCTTTCTAATATTTTCTTCCTCCGTGTCTTTGTTTGCTCATTGCTGCTTATCTTTAGCACATTACACTGCTGCCAGTTTATCACATGGCTGAGGCATAAAAACAGACACTAGTTCACATTCATACCCAGGGTCATGTCTGGTTTGAACCCAGAATCTTTTCACTGTGAGTGAACAGAGCTGACCACTGTGACCCCCCACAAGTAATTTTTTTGTACAGTCCCTGAAAAATGAAACATAATGAATTTGATAGAATCAAAGATTTAATTTTTGAATTGACTGAACTGAAGTACCAAAAAAAACTCAAATCATATCAGTCAAATGCATCTGGAGACAACATATAAAAGCAGTGCTGGACATCACAGATCAGTCACATCATCATGCTTGGTGGAACGTGCACTGCGTGTTGTTTGCACAGATCCACAAATTACCTCTTTCACCCATCTATTAGGTAGACTGAATGAACAACAAACAAGCAGGATCATGTCATTAAATAACCTTTAAAACACCAACATCGCCCCTCCTTCATACAGTAGCAGAGGTGTCTGTGTGTTACCTTGGCAGGTGCAGGGCTCTTCTTGGTTTCCCACATGCTGCGCTTGTTTGCAGCATCTCCTGGTTTCACATCCTGTCACACATAAGACCAATTTTAGTTTTATGCATTGGTGGAATAAGTATTCAGATTCTTTGGTAAAAGTATAACCATCTAAAATACTTCTTCACCAGTGAATGTTATATCAAATGTTAAATGTTAAAATATCAAAAGTTGTGATTAATAATTATGTATTGTCAGCATTTCACTCCTACTAGATTTAACTCCTTTATACTGTATGTTAAATAATTTAATTCAGTGGTTCCCAATCTACAGGTACAGGACCCTCAAGGGTCACAAGATAAAGATAAAGTGATCCTGTGATAAATGGTGGGATAGAAAGGAAGGGGGGCTTCATTAGCAGCCACTGTAGAATAAACTGTCCATGAGGTGTCAGTCATCTCCAGACAGCAAGACTGTCCAATGCTGTAGCCAACAACAGGCTGGCAAATTCACGTGCAAATGAGCACAATAGTGTGTACAGAGTATCGAGGGATTACTCTGTTAAAGTCTGGTGTCTAATTTACAATAGTGTATGTGTGATCAAGCCAAGGATATATCTTACTGCTGGCTTTGCTGCTGCTGGTGATACTGCTGTAGCTGGTGCAGGTGTGGGTGCTGGTGTTGTCTTCTCTGCCTCTGCAGGCTTTGCCATCCAGCTGTTTATACGTCCACTCACACCTCCTTTGATGGTAGCCACATCCTGGAGAATGACACAACTCAAATACTCATTTGCATATCAGTGAACCTGTCCATGCTTCTCGTTTGCTCTCTCTCATCCCTTCACCTTGTTGACAGGGGCTGGACTCTCAGAGGAGGTGCCGACATTGCCTTTTTCCCACATGTTTTTGATGTTGCGTGTTCCTCCTGTAGGAATATCTGCCACTGGAGACTTGGGGGATTTAGTTTCTTTGTTTCCCTGTGCAGACAGAGAATGGATTTACTCTAGCTGCTTTTTTTGTTGGCAAAGCAGGTTGACTGATACTCCATAGAACTGTATTTAAGTTCAGTTTTGAGGTGCTCATGTTTTACTTGAGTATTTCAGTTTCATTACATTTCAAAGGGAAATAGTTAATTTGCAGATTGTATATTAAAAACATATGATAAGCTTAAAACATTCAAGAAACATAATACAGAGGAGAACAGATACAGTCTATGAATGCCTTTGTTTTTGTCCTTCCTACACCATTAATCATCACATTGCTCCTCAGATTTATCTTGAGACCTTTTGGAAAGATCTCAACTGCTCAGCTGAGAAACTACCTGGCTGTATATAATGTAGTTAAAAGTAACTCTACCTCTTGTAATGTAATATATAAACTATATCAATTACATGGGTCAGGTGCTGCAAAATAACTACTTTTATTTTTGATAATTTAAGTACATTTAGCTGATAGTACTTCTGTGCTTTTACTGAATGCAGAACTTGTTTTGTAATAGATTACTTTTACATCATTATATTGGTACATTTGCCTTGTACCACTGTTGAGTAGAACAAACAATGTTGCCGAGTCTCACCTGGATGGCAGAAGTGTACTGTTCCAGTCTGTTTCCTATCTTGGAGACAATAGGAGTGTGTGACACTCTGGCTGCAGTGCTATAAGGATGAGCAATGCATGGAACATTAGCATGGCTCCCCAACATCAGTGTGCGGTTTAACAATTTCATTGTGTTTTATGGTAGAATATATTTTATGGCTCACCTTTTTTGGGTTGATTTGCTCAAGAATTCAGCCTTTTCCCCAATCTGAACAAAACAGCATGTTTAATATTATAAACCAGCCTGACACTGGCATGCACAAATAAATTCAGACATGGTCAAGCTGTCCTGGCTTCTTTCTAGTCTCCAAGATGACCTAACTGAGAATCAGACCAATGTGTCTCTGGGAAGGTCTCTCCGCACTGTTAGTTGACGTCTGAGTGAACGAACTGAGAGTTTTGCCAGATACACACACACACACACACAGCCTGGTCTGAGCTCGAGACTGGGAAATACCACTCACTGTGATTTATACTTGCCATGTACGCACACAGAGTTGAAAAGACACACATGCACATACAGTTCTCAACATTCCTCCAAAAATAGCCCAGCAAGAAAATTATTCACTTGCGATCTTGTTTTATAGCCATATTTGCGTACAGCTCAGACATCAAAGCATGTCATTTTTCTTTTTGTTATTCATGTCATTATATGGCTGATACCAAAGGAATTAAAAACTGAATTTTTAAAGGGCAAACCCAAGAATCACATTTTGGCAGAAAAACAAATCTGACTATGAAGAGAAAAGGGAATAGCTGTGCTTCTCTCGCAGTGTCTCACAACTGGAGAAAACAAATGCCAACAGATTTGCTGCTACATGGGAGAAAATGACAGCCTTCGTAATGCTATGAAGACAAGGTGGCGTACCTAACACCAAAAGGAATAGCTTAACATTTGGGGAATGTGTTTGATCACTTTCTTGCTAAGAGTTAGAAGAAAAGATCAACACTTATAGGTTTGTACAGTAAATATCATGTTACAGCCAGCAGTCAGTTAGCTTCATATTTACCATCCGCTCACTTCTTACGCTCGGTATAAAACCAAAAAAATGTGTTTCCCAAAATGCCAAATGATTCCTTTAAGACTTATTTGCATTTTACATACCTCTGGAAGACCAACATGTGTCTATGTTAATACGACTCTGTATACTGTGTGCTTACTCTCCTGTAGTGCACAACATTTGTGTTTGATTTGCCTACTTTTGCAGATGTTTGTCCCAGAGATTTCTATTTCCACCCCGATACAATGGAGGAGAAATTAACTTTTTGTGGTCCTCACAGCACTGAAAAATGCTTCTGCATAGTAGATATTTTATTGAAGTGGAAATGCCATGCACAGGTATCTAAAAGTCTGGGCAAAAAAAGCCTAAACTATCTGCATACATGCTAGAAGTAACTAGTAATGTATTACTTTGAATAGACCTTTTATGTTATCAAAATAATAGTGAAACGATTTTTTTTTGTTTGGTTTTTGTTTTTTTTTCTGAAATTGCTATATTTTGGGTCAGGAAGCTTCTAAAACAATTCCCTAAAGCCTGAACTCACCTTTGTGGAGCCTTTGGGACTGATAGTAAAGACAGGTTTTGTGGACTCTTCCTCCTTCTGTTTCTTCTTCTCTGCAGCCTCTGCTCTCCTCTTCTCTATCTCCTCCCTCATCCTCTTCCTCTCCTCCTGTCATGAGAACCATAGTTTTCTGTCACATCTTTTGTCAGTGCATGCAAATAGATTTCTCTTAAGGTGAGACCTCCTTTCTGATCCATGAGAAATGGCACACAACCAAGTCAAACCAAACAATAGTGGTGCTTTACATCTTCAGTGTCTGCCACAGTGTGAAATGTTTCTTTGGATCTTTGGTGGACTTAATTCCTGAATGTAAAGTCTGTCCTCACCTGTTCTTTGGCTTTCTTGTTCTCTATCTCCTGTTTCCTCCGTTGCTCTTCCTCCTCCAGGATCTTCTTCCTCTCCTCTCTCTTCCTCTTCAGCTCCTCCAGCTCGGCCTCAGCGCCCTGCTGCTTCTGCTTCATCTTCTCAAACTCCTCACTTTCTGCATCGTTTCGTCTGCGCTTCAGCTCCTGCAGCTTACGCTCGGCCTCCTGTCGCTCCACATCAGCTGCCTTTGTGGAAGTAATGTTGTCCCTGCTCATAAGTATACAAAACAATTTAGTGATCAATGCACATACAAACACAAAGTCATCAAAATATAGTCTACAGATGACTTTAAATAGTAGAAACGTGATCATAAAAGTCCTATTCCCACTGCTACCCTCTTTATACAACATTTTCAATTTGTTACACATTGTTTTGGGCTTTTGTACAGCTTCATTTGTGTTTATAGCATGGATTGCTTCTTAGCCTTGCCATTTACAGTACATTTTTCTTTCTTTGGTTATCTATTGCTTGTGTATCTGCTGCATGCAGAATAATAAAATTAATTTAATAATTTTATACTGAATTGGTTTGAATTGAATTGAATCAAAAGCATTTGAAGGTGCATTTTGTTCTGTGGTTATGTTTAGGCAACAAGAGCACCCACAGAATGTCAGTGGGAAAAAATCTGGTTAAACGTCCAGTAAATAAACCTGTTGTGTCTGAAGTCACTGTTAGTTTAGTTGTCTATAAATGTCATTTCTAAGAAACAGGGTTGGTTTGAAAGATCTAAGTTCAAACCCATAAATATTGTGTTACTGGACTGAAAATCTGGGGAGATTTACCTTGATGTCTCTGTTTTCTTAAGTTTCTCAGTGAAAGCTCCATTTTGTTTGGCTGGTTCATTCTTGTAAAGAGAAGACATCAAAACACTTGCTACTTATATCGTCCATATTTAAAAAAAACTACATTTGGTAGAATGAATGATGATGAATTAGTTTTACCTTTTCCTTGAAGCCAAATCTCTTCGGCTTCTCCTCCTTCACAAAGAGCAGAAGAGAAATAAGACTAATAAAACAGCAGGTTCAGTGGAAACACATGCAACATCCAAAACCCACAAAAAAGAAAAAAAAAAAGCCATGAAACTTAAGTGAAATCAAAGGCCTGGCAGTGAACGCAACACAGATGTAAGCCAAGGACCATCACACTGTGACATCTTCACTCTTTGTGGAAGTTTGTGAAAATACCCATAAATCATATCACATCACTTACTGTAAATACCTCCTCTTTCTTTTTCTTTTCTTCCATCTCTCTTTTTTTACGTTTGTCCTCTTCCTCTCTTTTCTTCTTCTCTTCTGCTTCCTTGTTCCGCTTTTCTTCCTCTTCTTTCTTCTTTTCCTCTATCTCCTTTTTCCGTCTCTCCTCTTCCTTCTTCTTCTTCTCCTCAAGCTCCTTCTTCTTTTGCTTCTCTTCCTCCTCCTTTTTCTTCTTCTCTTCTATTTCTTTCTTATGTTTTTCTTCCTCTTCTTTCTTCTTCTTTGCTTCTATTTCCTTTTTTTGTTTTTCTTCCTCCTCTTTCTTCAGTTGCTCCTCCATTTCCTTCTTCTGTTTCTCTTCCTCTTCTTTTCTTAATCTCTCCTCTGTCTCCTTTTTTTGTTTTTCTTCCTCCTCTTTTTTCAATCTCTCCTCCATCTCCCTTTTCAGTTTTTCCTCCTCTTCTTTTTTCATTTGTTCCTTTTCTTGTCTTTCTTTTTCTTCTTCCTCCTTTCTCAGCCTTTCTTCCATTTCATTTTGTTGTTGTTCCTCTTCTTCCCTCTTCTTCCTTTCCTCTTCCTGCCTTTCTTCTTCTTCCCTTTTTAGCTTGTCCCCCATTTCCCATTTTTGCCTCTCCTCCTCCTCTCTCCTAAGCTTTTTTTCCATTTCTTTTTGCTGTCTGTCCTCTTCTTCTTTACTTTTCCACTCTTCTTCTTCCTTGTTAACATCAGGAACAGCTTCTTCATCAGCACCTTTCTTTCCTAGATCGACCTCTACTTCCATTGTTGCATCCTCATTCTCCTCCTATAAGACAAGTTTTATTCATTTTTATATCTTTCTGTACACATATCAACTAAATAAAGTTAGGAGGAAGCTAACATAAAAGAACATACCTCATTTCTTGTGGCTGATGTTCTTGATTCCTCAATATGTTCCTGTTAGAAGTATAAAACATCAGGAAATCTTTTGTCTTTCTTCAATATATATTCTGACTCAGAAAAAGCTAGAAACTCATCTTTACCGTCTCTTCTTCCTTCTTGTCTTCTTCCTCTTTCATACAGGAGTTTGTATCCATCTCTGCCACCTCTTTCTGGGCAGGTTTTTCCTCCTTCTCCTCCTCTTCCTCTGTGTGTTGCTGTATGTTGCTGGCGGTGGAGGGCTGCTCTTCTAGCGTGCTGTCTGTGCTGTTGTTGGGGTCAGATTCCTTCTGTCTCTCCATGGCCTCCTTCATTCTCTTCTGCCTTCGCTCCTCCCTCTTGGCCAGGCGCTCCAGCAGAGCCTGGTCATCATCTGCACCTCCAAAGCTGGTGGTGGAGGAGGACTCCGTCTCCATCACGCTGAAATAACATGACACTGACTTTGTAAAACAGTGAGGTTTGAGATTCAAGACTAATTACAGCTGAATTTTCAATCTTGATTACAATCAACTTTGTTTGTATGATCAAATGCCCCAAACCCACAGCTTGGACTATTCTGCTGTGGGTAACCAGAGGAAATCAGTCAAACCACACAGTCCCTGGAGGCAGTCTCGAATGTTCAGGCTGGACTGATTATCAGGACCAGCACTTTATAATGGGTACTAACACTGTTGAGGAAAATTCTTCCATGGTGTCTCATTCAGTTGAGTAACATCATGTTTAACACTAAAACTCATTCAAGAAACTTTTTCAAACGCATATTTGATCAATAATAAATAAAGTATTGCTATGTTTTGTGTTAAGTTTTCCAAATGTGTCAGTACTTAATATTCTTATTTTATTTTAGAATAAGCAGCAAAAAATATTTTTTCCTGTTGCTAACATCACTGCAGCAGATCTGCTTAAGCTGAAGTTTGATGGTCAGTCGAGTTCTGCCAGCGAAATATCAGCAGCAGCATGTATTAAAATGCTATGATTTGCTTTCAGTGTCATAGTCAAAGTTCCTATTCTTGCCTCTTTTGTCCCTCATCTGTTTTTTTATTATAGATTTTGTCTACATTGTACCTATTAGTGTTGATCACATCAGTGGTACCAGACTCCTCTAATTCCCTCATCTTCCTTCTCTCTTCCCTTGCACGTCTCCTTCGCTCCCGAGCTTCTTCCTCCTCATCATCGTTGGTGCAACCCACCCTGAAATATCACACATGCAGATACATTGTACATGTTAATGTGTTAGTTACAGTTACAGTGTTTCTTCTCCAAATTAAGACCTATTGAAAAAAATACAGTGCCCAATCCCATCAAATTCTATTGTCAGTTACTGAAAGTGAGTTGAAGCATTTCTGACATAATAACCAGTTTTATTTAAAGTCTAGAGAATTTGAGTTATCAGTGTTTTTTAAACAGATACATGAATAGCAAAGGGAACTCCACATTGAAGAAACAGAGTCCTCCAAAAAATGTTCACCTTGGGACAAACATAGTGAATGAGAGATAAAGGCTGCGGTGACAAGAAGCTGGGTGAAGAAAGAGAATAATGAGGAGATAAGGAATCTTTGCAAACAACACAGTACACTAGATTAGAAATGAAAGAAATGCCTAAATCTTTGCCCTCCTGCCTTCCCCCTCCACCTTCCACATCCCTCTCACATCCTGCCATTGACCTTCATCCAGCTGTGAGTGCGTCCACAGTGAGAATTTAAGCATGCTAGGCTGTATCTTTTCAAGTGTTACCAGGCTTTATGAGGTAGTGAAAGAACGTGAAACTTGAAACAGTCCACTGATAGTGCACTGGTAATATTCCCCTCTGCTCTTCCTGCATCCGCAGCACAATGATTTACAGATGTTGTGAGAGGAAGAGGTGGATGGGAACCACACGAATTCTTTCTGTCTTTAAAACAGAAACAAAGACCCAAATGAGGAGGAAATCCAACAAATCCTCAGGCAAAGGTTCCTCTAAATGGCATGGATTGCCCAGTAATAACTGAGGAAGTAATTCAATTAGATATTACTTTACTGTACCCAAAGGGTGAGAGTGTTGTCAAAATGCTACAGTTACATTTCCAGATGAGCAACTCAGGGGATGTGAAACTAAATAAATGGAGAGAAATAAGACCTAGTGAACTAAAGGAAAAGAGACTAAACCACCAGAGTCCAACATGTTGTTGTGCTGAAATAAAAATGGCAGTGGAAACTTTCCAGGATCTGCAGCATTTTGCAGACAGAGAGGAGCTGAGAAGCTGGAGAGGCCAGCTGGGTTGACACAGCAGGCTGTGCTGGCTGCAACACTGTGAGAAAATTGCTTGGAACTCCTTCCTTTTTTTTTTTTTTTTTACTGAGGCTCTGACAGGACATCCAATATGATAGCAGTGAAGTGGAATAAAATTATGTGGTGAGCTGTGATTGATTGTGTGGAAATATTGCTGGTCATAGCCAAATCATCCATTCATGTATAAAACTGATTATAGCCTTTATATATATTTTTTTTTAACCTGTTCCACTAAAAAAACTAAACAAATGTCTTATGTTGTCTCTTGATACTTCTCGACTGTTTGTTGTTCTCAACCCCAAACTCATTTGCTGGGCAGTTTAGTTTTGAGTAAATATTCAGCCATGGCTTAATACTCATTTGCTGTTCTAGTGAATATTTACAGCAGTAGAATGGTGTTAAGGATCAACTCAAAATAAACTACACTGCCCACGTTTACTGAAATAAACATGTTACCCAGTGAAATGTGTTCTTCATCAATTTTAGAAAACATTGGTGCTCCATGACACAAAGGATTTTGATATATTATGCTTTGACTACTGCAATGGACTGGCGACCTGTCCAGGGTGTACCCCGCCTCTCGCCCGCAGCTGGCTGGGATTGGCTCCAGCCCCCCCGTGACCCCGTTTGGGACTAAGCGGTATAGAAAATGGATGGATGGATGGATGCTTTGGCTACGCAGACAATGATCATTAGTAGGGTTCAGGCGTTTGACCTGAGTTTTTATTAATTTTTCTCTGCTGCCTTTGAGTTTGTTTATTTATAGATTGTCTAAGGATGAGTGCACCTTTCACTACTAGAAT